ATGAATTGGTATCAGGTTAATAAATCCTTGCTTGTATAATATTTTTAAATTTCCTGATCAATTATAGGAGTTGGAGATCTAGACTAAAATTTGCACTTTTAAATAAAAAAGTAAATTAGATATACATCCTATGAAATTCTTTTCCAAAATTGAACTAGTAAATTCTATAGTAAATTAATATTACAATCTGCCTTGATTAGAAGCTGAACTAGAATCTATTGGAGTATAACTTACAATAGGATCTCAGTTATTATCAACTAAGATAGGACTGCCAGTTCTGATCAAAATCATTTCAACTATTGGAAGTTAAATTCGTGAAATAGTCAAAATGATATCATATTACATGATTTTTATATTGAGAAAATCAAAAAAAAAAAAATGTATAATCTCAGTTAATTCCATTCTGATTTGTATAAAATAATTACCATTCAATTCCTTACAACTAGACAGATCTAATGAGCTAACATTTATTAATTTTGAATATTTCAATTTTAAAATATTGCAATTGTATTATTAGCTAAAGTTATAAATCATAAATTCTACTTTAAATAAAGAGGTCTGGATTTTGAAATATAATCACAAATATCTCAAGATAGATTGATCCAAAATCAATGAATATTAGCTTATTAGATCCATCTAATTAAAAGGAATTGAATAGTAGTAGTTTAATATAAATTGAAGTAGTATTAACTGAGATTGTATATTTTTAATTTTTAGAATATTTTCATTTAAAAAATCATATGATATGATATCATTTTGATTATTTCGACTTTTTATTTTGACTTTACCCTCCAAAGTCAAAACATTTCAACTTTTGGGTTTCGACTTCATATATAATTATAATGCTTATTAAAATATATACAACATCAGATAATTTTGCAAGTTAACTAACACAAATTACTTGATCTTCAAAAATAGACTAATAACAAGTAAAATTTATTCTTTCCAAATTTTAAATTTAATTCCTTTAAAAAATCTTTCATATTGATATATTTTTTGTTATATTATTATATAAAATCTGTGATAAACTTCTTTGATCAAATTATATTCAAAATAACAGTAAGTATTATAATATAGCTTTAGTTGTATTGATATATATATAGCTAATTGTGATTTTGATATTGAAGATATTGGTAAAAATTGTTAGTATTGGTAGTAAAAATATTAGAAATGATAATGGTAATTAATATATTTAATTTATTGAGAATATATTGAAATCGATTGAGAAGCATCCATAATATTTGATGTTTTACTTGAATAAATTCTTGATGTTACATTTACTGAATATATTATATTAAATAAAGTATAATTAGAAGGAGTATTTAAATCTGCATTTTTGTTTAATTATAATAAAAAATATATAAAATTAATTAATAAATAAAATATTTAATTAATAAATCAAAATTATAAAAAATAATTACAAATTCAAACTATTTCTTTATTCCATAGACTTATTGCAAAATTACTTAAAGATAAATAGCAATCTTCTTTAATAAAATAATGCTTATGATATTTAATATTTCAAACATATTTATCATTTAATTTTATTGCTTAAGATCCAACTATTATTTCATTTGCTTTCAAATTTGCAATTTATTTTATCTTTTTATTTCTTCTTTCTCATATTTTTATTAATAAACTCTTTCTCTTTCATCTTTTACATCTTTATGAGTTTGTGTAATTCATTAATCTTCATGAATTATAAATCTTAACAATTTGTGTGAATTTTAGTGATAATTTATAAATCTTTGTGTTGTGTGAATCTTTGTGATAAATTATAAAATCTTAGTGGAATACAACTTTTGTATGTGAGTCTTTGTAATATACTAACCACCTTCATGAATCTTTGTGAAACTTAGTAAAATTATTACGTAAACTAAAAGAGTTACCACTCAAACATCCTGTCTAATTGTAGTGATCCACTAAAATTGCACATTAACAATAATAAAAATAATTTTATTAATATAAAAAATTCTGATTTATATAATTTATATTTATTTATTACATTTGAATGATTTAATTTGTAATATATATTTATTGCTTTCAATTAATGTAATATAAAAAATAAGAAAAATAAGTAAAAAACTGAAAATACCTTCAAAGAGTTCTGAAAACATTCAAAAGAAAGAAGGTTTAGTACAGTTCAATATTATAAAAAAAATAAAAATTACCTCTGAATGAGCTTTGATTTATAGTATACCTTAGCTCGATTAAGATTAGAGGCCAATCTGATCTGATCAGTTCAGTTCAGATTATAAATCTAAAAAATGTCAATCTGAACTGAACTGATCCGAAACGTTTGAATAATCTGATCAGAACTGAAAATTTTCAGATTAATCAGGTTATTAAATACTAATAAATATCCCTCCAACAGTTCAGGCGTGATATATTTTTTAATAAATGTTATCTCTAACAGTTCAGTTGCGATAACAGATAACAAAGCCGCACCTAACAGTTCAGGTTACTTTTATTATGTAAAATAATAATAAAAGTCACCTCTAAACAATCATATCTCTCATATAAAAATCTATGATAAAACTTTGAACCAGTTTCATAATATATTCGATAAGAGGAATTGTATACTTTAATTTATATTTATAAGGTCTTACTGACGTTTGGATCCATTTCATATTAAATGTTGTTGGGCATTATATGTTCCGTAATGTGATTTAACTCTTACAATCTTGCACAATTCCTAAAGTCTTTTTGCATATTTTGATAATTCTTAGGAATAGCAGGAAGTCACAACAGATCTCTTCTTCTGTTAGCTCTTTCTATAAACTATGATTTAATTTCCGCGTGGCAGTAATGTGTTTTCATTAACTTTGATCTTTTTTTTTACATAATGAATGAAGATTAGTAAGAAATTAAAGAATTAATAAATAAGGATTTAATTCACATTCTCTCTTTCACGTATAATTTGTTCCAATATAGTTTAATCCAAATTTTCGAATTCGGCTTAGAAACAAATAAATTTCTTTTTTATGTCTTCAAATATATCCGGAATGTGTGTTTGCACGACTCTCATAAAACAGTTTGACCAAGCACTTATTAAGGCACCCCAAATTTCGGTAAAATGGTAAATTTATTATGGAGATATAAAATTTCGGTATTTGAATTGTTGTATTCGTAAGGTAAGACGATAGACTAAAAAAATTAATAAGGCACAAGAAAACATTACAAATCGAAATGCTGAGAAAATTAAAAATTCACCTTTGCAAATTTTTTATTAAAAGTAAGTCACGTAGTACAATAATTGGTGTAACCTACAATTTGTTTATATTTACGCAAAAAGTGGATTTTCTTATTAATTAACCTAAACTTTGTCCTTTTTTCCTCACTTTCATCCTGCCCGATATTAGCTTATCCTTCCCTTGCGATTGCTAAAGAAGTCGGATATCACTTAACTAGGTTTTAGTAGTAAAATAAAATTCCTCTTGGTTTATTTACGTATTTTACGCGTATAACATATAATTTTTTGCACAACTTTTTTTTTGAAAATTTTAATAGGTTTATTATCGAAACCGTTGACGATATTCCTACGCTTTATAAATTTTTTTTATTATGGTCAAATATTCAACGATGATGAGAAAAAGGTCTTTTTCAAAAAAATGTAAGGATAATTTAAGATATGCTAGGTTTGTTCAACGAAAAAATCAAGAAAGAAAACAATTATATCGGGAAATAACTAGGGCCTTTTAAATGGTAAGTACGTTCCAGCATGTGTTGTGTACGAGGTGGATCTGCTGTACGTAGTAGATACCACACTAATTTAGCTTCGCAACCCTCATTTTTTTTTGTCAGCATCGCTTACAACATCATCTCATTTCACTAATATAGTGTATCAAGAAAATAATGTTACTAAGGAGATAATGAAAGATGACAATAATGATCGTTCAGATTTAGGTAATTATTATTTTAAATGTGTTTATTATTTATTATAATTTGGTCAACAATTGACTGGTGTTTGTGTTGTAATTTTTCAAGCTGTTATTGTCGACTCGAATGACATACAAGATATTAAAATGTAGTCAAACAAGCAAAGAAATTTGCAAATTATTAATCATACATATTTTTTCCGCATACTATATTATAAATGGGCATTATTTTCATCATCAGTATTCTCTACATTATTATTCGACGAAAATATAAAGTTGAAAAAGCTTTCCTATTTGAAAACAATTTTGTTTTGGACTATTTAAACGCGTTAAAAATTTGCTGCGCCAATACATTATTGAATTTTAATTTTAATATCAATATTATTTAATTTTCCAAATGTATTATTTAATTATTATTTTTAACGCGCTACGTAAATGAGTTTTAAAGAAAGGTTCGCATATTTTTTGTAAAGGATATTATCATCGTAAGATACATTTAATAAACTAAAAGGCAATGTAAATTTTAATTCATTGAAAGATGGAACCGGTTTAAACACGTTTTTAATTTGAGATCCGAATAAATAAACTGATTCAACCGGTCATTCGGTTGTAATAAAACCGAAAATCGAATTGCATTGGTTTTATTGTCAATATAATATAACCTTGGCGCTTCTCGAGTGTTATTAGTCTTTTATTAAAAGAAAAGTATTAGCCCATGAAATTAGATCTCTTGAATAGAAATATTAGTAAATTAGAATATCAAATATAGCTCATTTTCTGAAATATAATAATAAAATATCAAACGCATCAATCAGGATCCCGGTTCAATCGGTTTCATTAAATTAATCGAATTTGAAAATACTATAAAACTACCTTTAAAAAGAATCGATCATCAAATTAACAGATTTATTTCTAAATTAATTAAACGTAAATATGATATGATGATGCTTTCGATGCCCATTTATTCCATTTAATGATGATCTGCAGTGAAGTTTCTCTTTTTTATAGGAGAATTCCCGTTTTTAAACATGTTTAACAATGATAAAAAGGTGTAAAAATCAGCAAATTGTTTGTTCTATACAGAAATTGTTGATTTTATTAAGAAAAAACAAAAATATCAAAATGAATGAATTGAAATCCAATAATGAGGATGATTTTGTTAATTTTTTGCCGGGGTTTTATCGTTTATTAGATTTATGCAAATATGATAAAAGTAAACCAGTTTAAATTTTGAATTGATTTGTATTGAAAAGATTCTAATTATTTTTTACTATTCCCTTACAATAGTTGACAAAATATCTTTATCAAAAGAAGGATTGGAGCAATTATGCAATAACTTTATTTCAGACAGTTATCAATCAATTTCGGAAATTGATTATAATAAATTAAATTCTAAATCTTTGCAGTTGATTGGATGTTATGGAAATCATAACTTAATTGCAAAACTCTTGTTAAATCAAGAAAAGATTGATCAACGATTGTAATTATACGATTATTTTATTTACTATTTCACCATTATAATAGCTATTAACTATATATATATATTACACTGTATCTAGATATGAAATGATGATTCGCCCATCATCTCTTCGTCCAGGAATTTATTTCTTGGTGTACAATTCTAAATTAGGTTTAGTAATCCATTGGTCAGAATATGGATGCTATGAAAATAATGCTCCTTTACGAATAAAGAAAAATATGATAAACCTTCATCGGTAAATATGATACATTTTTATATGGAACTTTAGAATATATTATTAATCTTAATTATCATTTTGATTTTATTTAGATGTTTGACAAATTTGACGGATTATCAAATTTGTTTAATGAGTGATCGCGACTTGAATAGGTTTGATTGGAAAAAAGAAGATTCATCAAATGGCAATGATGATGATACGTGTTATGGATTCGAGGTCAAGAATAGTCAAAAACAAGAATTTAGATTTTTTAATGGATTTAACGTATGTCATGTTAAATTAATTTATGCTTCCTATCATATGATTGTCTGTTCATTAATAATGTATTATGTTAGATTCCTTTACCAGAGGCTATTGAATCAGAAATTAAAATCAAATCTTTTAATGAAAAATCATTACATCCAAAAGGTAAATTTGATTTTGTTTATATCAAGGTTCCTTTCCTTTCTCTTTTTCTTAAAAAAAAAAAAAAAATTCATGACTGAAATTATTTTTTCCTTTTAAAGTCGTTGAATCGATTTCATGTCAAGCTTTTGTTACACAAATGATAATTACGCCTTACGACACGAAAAAGGAAAGCGTTACTAAAAAACCATCATATTTCGGTGATTTTATGCATTTATGGAGAGATCACTCTATAAGAATTAATCGTTCAACCATGAGCATGAATAAACTTAAAATTCTTATCGACTATGGATTAAATAGAAATGATTTGAAGAAGTTATTAGTTAAAAGTATTGATTCAATGAATGTTGCATTGAGAGAATTTGATAATAGGGAAAAGCAAGAAGTGCTAGCTGTTCAATATAATACTTATGACTTAAAAATGGTTGCTCTCAAAAGACTTAAAGTATTATATAGGTAAAAATATTTTTATCTTCATATGCAATATTTATTAATAACAAATTAATTGTATTAAGTATTATTAGATGTTTTGAAGATACTCAACCAGATCAAGTTGATAAGAATGAAATAAACAAGGGTAAATTTCCTTCTTTTAGTTTATTTTATAATATCTATTTAATTTTTATTGTCAATTTTTATTTCACAACCAGAGATCGAGGGATTATTTTCAAAGTATCCTAATTTAACGGTCAAATTGGATACGGCATCAAAAATCAATACAGATGAATGGATGCAATTAAAACGAGGATTCATTTATGGATCATTACTGATGAAGGAAGTTCAAGCACATGCATCAAGAAATGATGAATTAAACAATAAAGAAGTGGATGATGCTATCTGGCAGGCATTATATAGAGTTTTAAATGTTTCGCATGCTGAACCTCTAACGTTTAATCATGTTTACAAAGATTATTTCACGAATCTGAGAACAAAATTACATATGAAGTATAAATTTACTTTTAAACTGACGGATATTCAGATTAACGATTATTATAATCAAGCAATGTTCATTGATTTATCGGATTCAACTATACTTGATTTATTATTCGATACCAAATTTTGTCCAAATAACTCAGAACTTAGAGAATCAATTATAAAATTATTCCGTGATATATATTGCAAATGGAAAACCAATAAATTTCCAGATAATATCAATAAGCTGGATTGGTCAGAGCTTATTGAAATTGAACATAAAAAGCATAAACAAGATATCTTAAATAACACATTTGAAAAGCTTTGCGAACTGATTGAGAAAAGGTTTCCAGATGGGTAAGTACTAAATTGATTATATTTACTTTATGCATTACTTTTTTTTATATTTATATTCATATTTGATTATTAGTCCTTTATTTAATGTCTTAAATATTAGTAAAACTGGTAATTAAGTTAATATTTTATTTTAATGCATCATTAAACATTATACTAACATTTAAATATATTTTAATATATTTTTCAGAATCAATTTTTTTAAGGATTAAAATTACAATAGATTACGAAGTTATGATTGTGCAGCCACCACAATTACAAATAACGATCTATGAAACTAAGGCTGAGCAAGAAGATTGTTTGAAAGTTCATACTTTTACAATTGAACCTGAAAATGAATTAATGTATTGCATTTTTTATTAACTCACTTTTTATTTTAAATATTTTCGTTTGTTGGAGTTATGACAAATCTTTTTTGTATTTTTAGGCATGTATCCAAGTTTGATCACCCTGAACATCCAAAATATTTGTCAATAATCTGGAATAATAAAACGAACCAAATGGAACTACGCGTAGACACAATACAAGGCTCAACAATACCGTTTATAATTGACCATTCAAAAAAATATCAGAATATAATGAATGCAAATAAATGTTGTCTCATTGCCGTAAATGAATCGAAAAGGTTAATTGGGATATATAATTCTGATAATGGCATGGTGAGAACTTGCACCTTACATTAATTTTATTTTTTTGTTTAAAAGTAGAAGGAAGATTAAATTTTTTTTTAATTATAGCTTAACGTATTTCATTATAACGAATTCATAAATCTTCATACACGTAACATTAATATTCAAATCTATAAACGTTATAATAATACTGTTCCAGATGTACATCATTTTTTATTTATTGAAAATACTGAAGAGCTTTGTTTTGTTGAGAAATTCGGTCGTGCAAGAATTTATAACCTTGCTAAAGGTCAATTTCGAGCAGTTGTTTCTCAATTTCCTCCCGATTCCACCAAAATTTTAAGTACACCTGATAGCACTTGTATAGTTGCATTTGTAAAAGAGCAACAGCAATCTTTATTGCCAGAAGTTGAATCATCGGAAATTACTCATGGCAAAATCATTGACGATGGCACACCACAAAAAAATGATGAATCCCTCAAATATAGAGTTAATGTATATGTATATTTTTATTCAGAATTTGGAAAACCAGCAAATAAAGGTAAGCATCGTGTTATATTTTTATTTTTATATTTTTAATTCAATTTTCACCTTATTTTAAAAAAAAATTGTTAGTAGTTGAAATGCCTTCAAGTATGCAATCCTTGGAATATTTTAAATTTACTATATTAAAAAACCGTCAAATTTATCTTACTACACTTGACATCAATAATGGTGTTTCACAAGCATTAATTGTTAAAATTGTGGATGATAAAAAAGCGAAATATCAACTTAAACAAAGTCTTGAAAAATCAACTGGACAGGTTAAATTTGAATCTGCAGAATCTTCAGATGATCATCCCGATAAATCATCCATACTTGTTGGTAGACGGATCAATTTTACTCAAGATATTAAAGAAGGAGAAAATATTATTATTATGGATAAAAGTTATGAAGTAATTGAAATAATCTCCGATAGTAAAATAAAGATAGCCGACAACGTTTCTTCCCTTTTGGGTGTTGAGTCATGGTTTGATTTTCGTATTGAACCAAAGACAAAACTTAATGGATTTATAGATTCATATAAATTAATGTTTGAAAAATATCCAATTGATAATTGTATTGAAAATGAACAAAATAGGTTACTTTGTTTACATATAGTTTTAGATATTTTACAAGATAATAATTCCGTTGAAAAGTTTCGTAAATATCGTACAAACTTTGAAGAATATATATTAAATATGTTCAAGGATCTAAAAATAGAAGCAAACAAGCCGCAAAATGTTTTGAAAGAATTTTCGACATGTGTAAGCACTTTCACAGAGTTTAATATTGAAAATTTAATCCGATCCAAGAAAAATAAGATGATTAATTACCAACTTGGTGAATGGATCGTACAACTGTTATGTTTGATTCCAATTCAAATAGCTGTATCAAAGAATCATAAATTCCAACCGTTGTGTGATGGGACATTAAAAGCAGAAGGCGAACAGTCTGATGGATGTCATATTACTCGTAATATATCTTTTGGATGGTATGAAGGAATCCTTAATCATCTTGGGGATCGCAATATTAAAGTTGTTTCAAGTATGGGTGAACATTCTTGCGGAAAGTCATATTTATTAAATCATCTTGTTGGAACTTCCTTCGATGGTTCGGAAATGGTAGTTTTTTGTATTTGATTTTTTATATTTTGAATTTCTTATATATTTTACTAAATTAAATGATGTTTTAGAGCGAGGGTGTATGGATGTCTTTAGGTAAAATAGATTAGCTTTGTGATTTCTTTTTATCAGTAAAATTAATATATATTTTTATCCCCTTTAGTAAATACCCATAAATGTATTTATGTTGCACTAAACTTTGAAGGTTTAGAGTCACTTGAAAAAAGTTCTCAAGATGGTGCGTATTATATATAATTTTTTTATTTTCCATTAACACCACAATCACCTTATATTTATACAACTTTTTAGATTTATTTTTGGCACTGTTTGCTACAATCATGTCAAATCTCGTACTCTTTAAGGTAATTTCGTATTATTGAATTTTTTTTATTAATACTTTATTCGTTATTCGTTATTTACTAATATAGAATTTTTTGAAATTACAACAGTGTCATTTTGCGATAAATAGAGATATGTCTTTAATGTTTCAAAGATTTCAGGATGGTGCAATGTTATTCGAGTCAGATCCAAAGTTGTTTCAGGTATAAATATATTTTTTTTATGTAATCTCATGAAATTTGTATTTTATTAATTTTATTTATATCTCTAATGATTTAGGCAAAACTATGTGTTAACATAAAGGATGTGCCCATGTCCGAAAAAGAAGAAATTGTTGGGGAATTTCGGGCAAATCTTTCTCGATTAATTTCCAATGTACATTACATTATTTATTGCTATTATATTGATTACTTGTAACGAGCGACTTATTTATTCTTATGTTTTTAGGAGGGTGAAAATAATTTTATTTCAAGAATTTTTCAGGGTGAATTGAATGTCATTCCTTGGCCTATGTTTAATGATGCCGCATGGTTTAACACCTTATCATATGTTAATAAGAAGCTATATGAGCAGGAGGCAAAATTTGACAACGTACGAGCTTTCTTACAAAATATAAAAGTAATCATGGCTAAATTAAAGGTATAGTGGTATAGTGAAAAGACGGGCAACCTTTTTTATTTTTTTTAAAAACAAAAAAAAAATATATGAATTTTCTTTTCGTATTAGATATGTGAGTGGGGTTCGTTAGATAACACCCTCATACAGATTCGTGTTGCAACATTAATGAGATTACTTCCATTTGCGGTTTCCCATGGAATGGAACAAAACTGTGATATTGCTAGACATCTTATGGTAATAAATATTTGTTCAAATCTGTTTATTTTTGAAACGTTTGATTAAACTTTGAATTCCAATAGAATCATGACACTGGAGAAAGAATTGATGATCCGATAGTCAATTTTTCCGAAATTTTACACGATTTTAATGA